GGAAGATAAATGTAACGCAAACCAGGCCTATTAGAGATTCGTTAAATTTAGCATGTTAAAAAATAAATGTTTGAGCATTGGTGGTATACGCTTTTTAATATCAGCATTCGGGAGGCAGAGGCAGAGGTAGAGGCAGACGGATCTCTATGAGTTCCAGGCCAGCCTGGTTTATAGAGTTGAGTTCTAGGATACCCTGGGCTATTATACAAAGAAACCCTATCTTGAAAAAGAAAGGAAAAAAAAAAAAAAAAAAAAAAAAAGAGTAAATGTTTATCTCCCAGGATTTGTTTACTATCCTTTAGGCTACATTCCCATAACAAAGAAGATAGCCCTGAGGAAGAAGGCAAGATTAAGTCTAGTTTTTCATTAAGTCCCTTGCCAGGTGGGCATGTTGACCCTGGGAGACAACTCTTTGAAAAGAACATCTCAGGTGTACTTAGGAAATAACTCTGGCAACAACTTTGCTGTGTAAATCTCCCATCTGCCTGAGCAGCCAGACTTACAGTCTCCTGGGTCTGTTGAAATTGTTCAACGTGTAACCTGGGGTGGGGACAGAGATTTAAGAATGGTGGTGCAGGAGAAATGAATATGCACAAAGTGTATGCGAATTAGCAAACCCTTTTATTCAGGGTGCTCTTTTCCAAGAGCATTGCCCCTGGTCGGACAAACACTATTGAAGAGCGTTTCCTAAGAGTGAGGTGTGACTTCTCCAGGGAAAAGCATTTTATTTCTAGTATACCACCTCATTTCTGACAACCCCTGGGAAAAGAAGTATGTTCTTCCACCTGTCTGGCCCCTTCTGTTCTTTCAACTCTCATGAGCTCTCCACCAAGAAGTTCAATGGTAACAGTACATATTACTATTTCAAAAATGCCCTAAATGAAGCCTGGCATGGCATGGTGGGACATGCCTTTAATCCCAGCACTCATGTGAGGCCAGCCTGCTCTACATGGAGAGTTCCAGGCTAGCCAATGCTCTCTCTCTCTCTCTCTCTCTCTCTCTATATATATATATATATATATATGTATCTATCTATCTATCTATATATGTATGTATATGTATGTATGTATACATATATACATATATACATACATACATATACATACACACATATATACATATACACACACGTGTGTGTATATATATATATATATATATATATATATATATATGTCCCTTTGTCCCTCCTTCCCACAATTTAGAGTGTTCTGTGGATTATGTATCCTTACTTCTTTCCCTTCTTTGCTGTAGTGGAGATGCTCAGGACTCCTGCACCCTAAACAAGTCATGGGCATGGCTTCTCCAACCCTCACGCTGTTTTTCAGGATTTGAATGGAGGGGAGTGTTACCTGTATTTCTGGGCACTCTCATCCTACTGGATTTTTTCTTTTACAAAGAAAACTTTATTTGGTTATTGGTTTTTTGAGGCAGGTTTTTTTTTTTTGCGGGGAGGGGGGCAGGGTTTCTCTGTGTAGCTTTGGAGCCTTGTAGACAAGGCTGGTCTTAAACTCACAGAGATCCGCCTGCTTCTGCCTCCCAAGGGCTGGTTATTAAACGGGTGCGCCACCACTGCCTGGCTAAGAAACCTTCTTTAAAAAGACTATTTAACGCGCATGCGCATGTGTGTGTGTGTGTGTGTGTGTGTGTGTCTGTGTGAATGTATGCCACATGAGAGCCGGGAATCACACTCTGGCGTCTCTTAACTGCCCAGCTAACTCTCCAGCTAGGACTCTTTGTTCCTTAATCTCCTTGGAGAAGAGCCATTGATTGCCTTGATGTGGGTTTTTTGTTGCTGAAGCTTTCTTGGCTATGGGTGGCTAAATGTGTTGGGGCTAATCAATGGTCACCAAAAGCCACCCAGAGGCTTCTAAATTTGCTATCTTATGCTCAAGAAGAATAAGGAAATGCAGACGACAATGACTAAAAGAGCTTTATTAATGAAAAATGTGAAGGTGCTCCAGGAGAGATGGAGGCGCTCCCTGGGGGAGCACGGTGTGGTCTCTTAGGACTCTTATGGTGGGAACTGGATGGAGATTTTAGTCGTGTGTTTTTAAAATTTATTTTTATTTTATTAATGTTTGTCTGTTGTATTGCTTGTGGAGGCCAGAAGATGGCGTGGTTGTGAGCCACCATAAGGGTGCTGGGAAGCCAACCAAGGTCCTCTGCAAGAGCAGCAAATGCTCTTAACTGCTGAGCCATCTCTCCAGCACTCAAGACTGAGATAATCCCTACGGATTGGGATTGGATTGGTCGTTTATGAGGGCAAAAGGCTGAGCCAGCAAGACTCCTTACTTCACAGTCCTTGTTTCTGTTAGGAATATGTTCGGGGTTCTCAAAGAAAGAGAATACTACTCCAACTGGAGTGTCCGTAGAAGGCAAATTTTACCGTGCTCAAGAGGGTGACCTCGGAAGAGCTAACACACAGAGACAGGAAGTGGACTTGGTTCTTTTCTTTTTTATTTATTTATGCGTTTATTTATTTATTTTTTTGTTGAGACAATCTATGTTGCCCTGGCTGTCCTGGGACCCTATTTTGTAGATGTTTGGCCTCCAACTCAGAGATCAGCTTGCTTCTGTCTAGGGAGTGCTGGGATTAAAAGTGTATGCCACCAGCCTGGCTACTTGGGTTTTATTCTAATCCGGTGGTGACTGACTCATCCTGTCCCCCTCAACCTCCACACTTGGGTCCTATTTGGTTGTCTCATCTTGGGAGGAAGGGGTTTTCTACTTCAGTCACTTAAGTTCCACGAACGCAGCAGGGCCTTTGTGCAAATAAAAGTTTTATATTGGGTAGGGAGTTTTTGTTTTTTGAAAAAATATTTTCATAAAAGTCGTTCTTACAAGGAGGATGTAAGGACTCAGGCATTAAGCTGGTCTGCCCCTGTCATGTGGCAGAATGCACTCAGGCAGTGCCCTGGTCAGCCCAGGGTTCTATGGTCGCTTAGTGGATAAGCAGGTGCAAAGAACCCCTTTCAAAGACAGACCCTGGCCCACTTAAGCTCTTTCCCTATGCACCCCTGGGCCAGACAGGGTGCTTCCTGTCTCCCTCTTCTGACCTCTCTCTGTCTCTGTGTCTCTTTACCTCTTTTCTCTTTCCTTTTCCCACTCTCCATTCTAATAAAACTTCTCACTAAGCTCTGTCTAGCATGTTTGTCCCTCCGCCTTGGTCACTCATGAAATCAGGCAAGGTTCCCCTCGAGCTTTATCATAACAGTGGGGGTGATAAAAGATATTTAAATTCCTTATCCTGAGCACAAGTTTATATTATTTGATAGAAAAGGCTCATCTTTAATATTCCCTTTGCCCAGTTCCTCATCCATTCACAGGAAGAGTGACTTGACAAGTTCTGGGTCCTTCATGACATCTGCTCTTAGTGCCTAAAGGGATGGAATTCCCTTTTAAAACCTGAGTGGGGAGACGCCCTCTGAGACCAGATTGTTTCTTTGATTTCTGTGCCTTTAGAGTCACTATTATAAGGACCACACCGAAGACAGTCAGTAAGCACATTGATCTTACTTGATTTGGTAAGAACGGGTCTCTGGAAACCTGTTAGACAGACTATAAGGCCAAATGGATTAAAAGATGAGTCCAGAAGCAAAAAGCAAGAGTCAACAAGTAGCCAGAGGGCCCCAGGCTTGGCTATTTTTCACATCAAAGAACACTGTCCCAGGGAGTCAGAGTGGACGACTGTGAGCAACCACACCCAGCGTGATTCTCATGCAAGTGTCTGCAGCATTGAAGAATCTTATTTCTTACTGACTTGCTTTTTATTTTAAATTACATTTATTGGGGGGGGGGAGAGACGGACAGAGAGACAGAGGTGGGGGTCAGAGGGCGATTTGCAGGAGTAAGCTATCCCCGCATGGGGTGAGGGTGGGTTCAGGGGGTCAAATTTGAATTCTAGGTTTAGCAAAGGTGCTTTTACCTGGCCTATAACAATCCCCCCCCCACACACCCCCCCCGTCTCATTCTCCAAGTGCTTGTATTACAGGAATGCAACCACCACACCAATCAGTATTATTTTAGATGTTTATTTCCTATCTGATTAGTAACCCTATCCATTTCATTTCGGAAAGCTGAAAGGAAAAATCCTTTTTCTTTTTCCAGTTTGGGTCTAGGGTTTAGCGGTCTGCAAATTAGCTGAGGAGATAGATTAGCTGAATCAAAAAAAAAAAGACAATTGTCCGAAATAAAAGTTATTAGTCTCAATTTAACAAGGGAGGGGGCGGAAGAGCAGACAGGTTTTTGTGTTTCAATAGGAGAGTCTGGAAGGATATATTGAGGTATTTTTATGCTAATGGCCTGGAGCAGTTCAATCTTCTAGAAGCTCCCGGGGGATATGGATGGCTCTTTATATCGTCTGCCTTTGTTTTCCTCAAAGGAAATCTAGTTAATATTTCTTTCTGCCTCTACAATAGCTTCAAGGGCTTACTTTAAAAATCATCTTCACTCCAAGCGGGAGAAGAGGATATTTGGGGATATTCTGAGCATGCCCAATGTGGTTTCCTACTGTCAGGGATTGATTGAGCAGTTGGTTTGGGACACCAAAATTGGCGATTTTAGTTAGGAAGGCCAGAAAGGGTTAAAGAGTGGGTCTTCAGCTATCTCCCGAGAAGGCCAAGAAACGAGTGATTGTCAAAATCACGGCTCTCTAAGTAAGAGGGGCTCGGCGGTGCGCAGAAAGTGCGTAGTCCAGATCTGATGCAGCGCGATCAGGCCTGGGACAGATTTTTGAGAACCTCTGTGTCACCCGAGCTCCACCTGTTCGTTCGAGTTATTTCCACAAGTGCAAGTTTGGTTAGGAGCCACGAACTGGAGTGCCTGCGAGGATTGACGACACAGGCAGAGCGCCCTGCTTGGAGGAAGCGCTCACCAGGGTCAGCTCTTTCCGGCGCTGGGTGGGGCAAACTTGAGGGCGCCTCTAGTGGGCCCCCCCGGGATGCGTCACTCGCCTCAGGCTAATCAGAACTCCACCCGAGCCCCACGAACGACTCTACTTCCTCCCTTCCCGGTCGCAGCCTCTCAGTCCCGAACCGTGGGCATCTCACGTCTAGCCTGGAGCCGAGGGTGTCGGGCGCACGCAGACCTGCCGGCTTAGCGTGGCCGCCTTCCCAGCCGCTCTCCGGCGCTGCTGAGCTTAAATCTGACCCCGGGACCCGCCTGGTGAGGTCGGGCCTCGCGACGCCACCGCCAGAGTTGGAAAGCGAAACCGCTCGGCTCCGCAAACGGCACCGCCCGCGTCCGCCCCTAAGTTTCGATTCTCCGCGAAGCGGTGTCCCGCGCTGCGGCCAGAGCAGCGGCAGCCATAGCGCGCCATGGCAGACCCCGGGGTATGCTGCTTCATCACCAAGATCCTGTGCGCCCACGGGGGCCGCATGACCCTGGAGGGACTGCTGGCCGAGATCGCGCTCCCCGAGGCGCAGCTCTGTGAGCTGCTGGAGGCGGCGGGGCCCGATCGCTTCGTGCTGCTGGATATCGTAGGCCAGACCGGGATCACTCGGTCGGTGGTGGCCACCACCCGAGCCCGCGTCTGCCGTCGCAAGTACTGCGAGAGACCCTGTGACAGCCTGCACCTCTGCAAGCTCAACCTGCTGGGCCGGTGCCACTATTCACACGCTCAGCGGTGAGTGCGCCGGGCGGGAGTGCGGGAGCTTCTCGGCCGGTCTGGCCGGGGGCCGCGGGGCTGCTTCCTGGGGGAGGCCCGGGCGCGGTGGATGTCGCTGACTGCTTTCTCTCCCATTTCCTCAGACCTCCTAGGCTAGTGGTTCTCAACCTTCTAATGGTGCGACCCTTGAATACCGTTCCTCACGTGGTGACCTCATAGCTGCAATTTTGCAACTTCCATGAATCCTAATGCAAACCTCTTTTCCCGATGGTATTAGGGGACCCCTGTGAAGGGGTCTTCCGACTCCCAGGTTGAGACCCCCTTCCCTGGGCCAAAGCGATATTGCCTGAAAAGACTAGGCTGCCTCTCTACCCTTCCCGTCGCTCACTAAAATCCTAATTAAAGTACTTTTGGGACAACCAGAGTTTAGAGAAGTTGCAGGTAGGTCTTTTCCTCCTTGCTACCCTGGTCACCCCCCTCCCCGGCGTGTTGTGGTCTCCCCTGAACCCCAGCAGTGCTGGGCACTCGGTGTCTCGCTGCGCCTACCCGGGGACCCGCTGTGGCCCGCCACTCCTAGGCTCCCCACGTCCCCCGCCGTCTCGTCTAGCGACCGGCCGCGCCACCTGGCCAGAGTGGCCCTCCTTGAGATTACCAAAGACGTGGTGGCCTCCTAACCTCCCTGCCGGGTCTGCGTGGTGGCTCGCACACACTGAGCATCCGGTTCTTGCGAACGGTTCTTTCAAATTGCGTGAAACAATGTAGTTGTAATTCTCAGGCAGCTGCTTCTGCTCCAACTTGATTCTGTTTCGCTTCCTAAATATAGGCGTTTCCAGGGCTTAAATCAAGCCGTTTATTTAGCTGTCTTCCAAGTTTCTCTGTGAGAGGGATCACTCGCTTTATTCACCTGTCGTCTCTCTCCGGAGATAGCCTCTAAACTCATACCCCGCAGGCCTGCGTTATGAATCCAGCGCCTCCATCTCCCGCGCCCGGGGAACCAGTGTCCTGTGCACTTGAGCCAAACTCCCCCCAGACAGGCTCCTCGACCTTACCCCCGCCGTCTCTAGTTTATATAATTTGTCATCCTTTTGTCCTTTCCTCTTGTGTGTGAGTTAGTACTGAAGAGTGATAGGGACCACCTACATGCTAGGCAAACACCCCACCACTGGACACCTAAACAATCTATTTGAGTCAGAGTCTGACCAACTTGCCCAGGCTAGCCTCCAGTTTGCTCCATAGCCCTTGAATTTGGGTTCCTCCTGTCACATACTCCCAAGTGGCTGAAATTGCACTCAGGCTTTCAGCTCACACTTTGGCTCGTTTATTTTTTCTGGGTAGAGGTTTTTTTTTTTTTTTTTTTTTTTTTTTGAGACAGGGTTTTCTGCGCCTTTGGAACCTGTCCTGGAATTAGCTCTGTAGACCAGGCTGAACTCAAGGAGATCTGCCTGCCTTTGCCTCCCCAGTGCTGAGACAAAAGGCGTGCACACCAACGCTTGGCCACTTTTTTGATTCTTAAAAAAAATTGTGTTGCCTTTTTTTGGAAACAACGTGATCTTCAAACTTTTTAAAAAAACAACTCCAGTTACCTCCATTTTGTGAGTATGAAAACACACAAAGGAATTCACATAATTCATTAAGTATTTGAAGAAATACTTCAGTGTGACCCCCCCCTTTTTTTAATATTTACTGTTCTGATGCAACAGTTTGAAAGCCTTTCTGAGTTACCGGAAGTCATGTTTAGGAGTAGGCATGTAAGTTGCTTACAACAGAAGAAATTGCTGAGTAGGGAGGAAGCGAAGTGGTTAGAGGTAGAAAAGGAAGGAACATTCTAGCACTGTACTGAATAGCAACAGGGTTAGGACACTTTGTGATTCATTTTTATTTTCCTGTCATTGCCTGTTCTGAGATTTTCTCCAGCAATTGTTGGCTTTGAAAAGTTTCAGTGTTTCTCTACAGTCTCATCATATTAAAGATGGAGAGGGAGCCAGGTGGTGGTGGTGGTGGTACACCCTTTAATGCCAGGTGAATCTCTGGAGTGTGGGTTCTGCAGGGCGAGTTCCAAGACAGCCAGAGCTGTCACACAGAGAATCCCTGTCTCAAAAAAACACAAAACAAAACAAGAAGAGGAAAAAAGTGGAGAGGGTAGACTGCTGAGCCTCCATGGTCCTATCTTTTTGATTCAACAGTTTTCAAAATGTGGTCTCTCCATCTCAGTCTCCATCCCCGGGCCTCTCCATCTCCACCCCCACCCCCAGCGCTTTATGTTAAAGCAAATCCCAGTGGTTACTTACTTCCTAAAGTATTCAGTATTGTGAACAGATAAAGACTGTTATTTTATTAGAATTTTCACAGTATAGTCATTGATCACTTAAAAAAAAAAGTCTCTAGCATCGGTAGTGGCCCATGCCTTTAATCACTGTTCTTGGGACTCAGAGTTTGAGGCTAGCTGGTGTACAAAGTGAGTTCCAAGACAGCCAGAACTGTTACACAGAGAAACTCTGTCTCAAAACACAAAACAAAACAAACAAAGAAGTCTTCCTCTTGCTCTCCTTCCTTTGGTCCAGGCTGGTTCAGAACTCTGGTTAGGCCAAGGGTGACCTTGAGTTTCTGTTCTTGCCTCCATCCTAAGTGCTGAGATTACATGCTTGGCACAACCATAGCAGAAATATGGAGTGCTGGAAACTGAAGCTCCCACCTCCTGCACGCTAGCAAAGCATTTTACCAGTGTAATTACCTCCTCAGACCCCTAACAATATTTCATTGTCATATAATTTGATGTTGGAATTCTCCTGATTGCGTAGTAGTCTAACTTTTTTTTTTTCAGGTAAAACATCCATATAGACATAATCCATGATTACTTTGATACGTATCCAATATGTTTCTAGAACTGTCATTTCAGTTTGTTGCATACAACATGTGTAGAATTTTTAGTTTTATAAATTTTGTTATTTTTGTCTGGTTTGAAACAACCATTTTAAGTTCCCACACTGGCTTGGAAATGACACGTTTCTGTATTTTGAAAGATTACATATAAAAGGGATTATTTGAGTTTGGATAGAGATATACTCTCCAGAGAGTTCATTATTTAAGGGGGAGCTGGAATGTTGTTTTTGTCTTTGTGTTTCTTGTTTGTTTTAGTGGGTAGCTTCCTGTGGCCTGGAACTTACTTATGGAGACTGCGCTGACCTCTGACAAAGATCCACCAGCCTCTGACTCCAGAGGGCACACACATCATAGCTGGCTAGAGTATGTTCACTATTTACGTGTATGGCCGTTTGTGCCTGCACAAGCTTCACTGTCTTGTGCCTGGTACCCTCTGAGGGTGGAAAAAAGCATCATACCATCTGAAACTGTAGCCACAGACTGCTGTGAGCCATTGTGTGGTGCTGGGAATTGAACCCTGGTCCTCTGTAAGAGCAGCCAGTACTCTCAACCCACCCAACCATCTCCAGGCCTACTCTCCTCGGAGTCTAGGCAACAGCTTTTTTTTTTTTTTTTTAAACCAAGTTTGTTTTGTAGTATTTTTGCCTTTTAGTGACTCCTACAGAATTTTGTCTTCTAAAACTTGACATGAATTAATGACTCTTGAATCACTGGCTAAGGTGTCAGTTAACCATTTAATATCCACAATGGTATACTGTAATTGTATGTTGTAGTGTAATTTGTAATTTTTGCTGGTCTTGTAATATTTTCTCAGTAGTACTTTTATTTACAGATAGAAATTCCCGTCCAGGATTCCTGAATTCCCTTTTGTAATGCTTCTGGCTATACATTTTAGTTGACAAAGGGCTTTCCTAGGTAGGCTGTGTTATACTTGTCTGGGTGCTCAAGTTTGTCATTTCTGTTTGCTTTGCTGACACAATATTCCCCAACCTGAAATTCAAGTCCCAGGTGTGACACAGAGACTAATTATGTAATAGGCACAGTAGAGTTGACAGCTAAATTAGTTTTCACCATAGCACCTGAGAAGTCTGCAGGACAAGTCCGGAGACCAGACCTGGCTCTGCTGGGATTAGAGGCGTGTGCCACCACCGCTGGCAAGTCCTTCCCTTTAAACAGTATGTTAACGTTGTTGTTAGTGTTTAGTATGTGTGTGTACAGGTGTACAGTGTGTGTGGGGATCACACATGTACACATGTGGACTTCAGCACAGTTCTGTGGACTTGGTTACCCTCTTCTATTTGCTTTGCTTGTGAGACAGGGTCTTCAAAGCTTGCCTCAAACTCAAGAAAAAAAAATCCCCCCGCTTCAGCGTCTTGGGTACTAGTATACTGGCATACACCATCCCAACACGCCGCCTAAACGCTGTCTTGGGGCTTCAGAGAGTACGGCTCGGCAGTAAAACACTTACTGCTCTTGTTGGGTTTCAGCATCAGTAGGACTGACTGCTCAAAACCATTTGTAACCCCAGCTTTGTGAGGTCTGACGCCCTCTTCCGGCCTCCACAGGCACCAGGCATTCGTGGGCTGCGCGTTATTACTCACAGATAAAATGAAAATAAATGAACCTAACATAAAAATCTTACCTCAGTCAGATGAGTCAGGCATGGAGGTCTTTAGAGTTTTTGCTGGAGGCCACCATAGCTTGCAGCTGGCAGAGGTGACAAGTCAACCCTATTTGTGTGGCGTTGGCTCTTCCGTTGTCTAGGAGCATACAGCACACAGCGGTGTATAACTCAGGCTACTCTCCGTGCAGGCATGAGCTCTGTTGACCTGGTTGGAGCAGGTGTCTTAGGTTCATTTTGTTACTACGGTTTCCATCAATGTAGGTCCCCCCCCCCCCCCCCCCCCCCCCCCCCCCCGGGACTCTTTACTGCTTTTAAGGTATTCATTGCTGAAACTTTGGTCAGGTGTGGGCCTGTGATCTGGCTCATGGGGTAAAATGCTTGCTTTGCAAACCTGGTGATGTGAGTTCTATGCCCAGGCCCCACAGAAAGATAGAAGAAGGAAATCCAATCCACAGAGCCGTCCTCTGCTTTCTACACGCACACTGGCATGAACATGCCCCCATGTATGCATTAG